GAGAGAGAGAGAGAGACAAAGGAACAGGGAGGGGCGCGGGGAATGGCAAGGCAGCGCGAAGCACGTACAAACACCTCCTCCAGGAGCTTGTCCACCTGCGCGTCATCCGGACGGCTCTTGGGGATCTTGATGGGCTTGGGCTTTTGACGCTTGTCATCGGTGGCCGCGCCGCCCCCGCCAATCAGCCCGCCCAGCAGGCTGGTGGAGGACTTGGCGGAAGAGGCGCCGGAAAGAGCACCAGAAGGGGGGGCATTCTGGCTGGGGTCATTGAGACCCAGCGCATCGGCGGCGCTGAGGCGCGTGCGCGGGGCGGCGCTCGCCCCAGAGGTGGCCGGCTGGCTGGCAGCTGGCGGAGTGCGAGTCATGGCCTCGGCAGCAAGGGCAGCAGCCGCGGAGGGACTGTTGCCACTGGACGGGGGAACGGACTTGGCCGGGGCCGGGACCGGGCTACCGGTGGAAGGGGTGGCCTCGCCGAGGGGAGCCGTGCCGGCGGAGGTCAAGTCCTGCGCGGGCGGGGGGGTCTCAACCACGGGGCTGGATGCTGCCGAGCCCGGGCGCTTGGAAGCAATGAACGAAAGTGGCGGCGGCCGACTGTCGTCCTTGTTGGCGTCGGAAGCGGCTGCCTGCGGAAAGCGGCGCGACACCGGGACCGACGACGACTGATGCAGCTGCTCGGAGGACGAGGCGGAGGCCGGGTCCACAAGGTCCAGGAGGTTTCCTGACGATGGGCTCTTCACGGGAGTCGAGCCGGTGGCGTTCGGGAGCGAGGGGTCGGAGGCGGACTCGTCCGAGGAGAGACGCCGGTCCTTTGTGGTGGCCGTGAACTGCGACAGAGGAGGGGAGGGGAGGGGAGGGGAGGGGGGCGCACGAGAGGATGATGCCGGAGGGGAAGGTCAGTTTCCGTGGGAGCACCACCCGGGGCCCAGGTGGGGAAAGTCGGACGGGCGGGGGGAAAAGGGGCAGAAAAAGAACGAGGCAGGGGGGTGGGGCTTACGCGGAACCGCGCGAGGGGTAAAACAAGGGGAGAGAGGACGATAACACTGAAGACAAAAGCGAAGGGGAGAGGAGGAGAGGGGAAAGGGAGGGAGAAAAAACAGGTGGTGCACAGTGGCGAAGGGGAAGGAGGGATGCGTCTGAAAAAGGGAAGCAGGACTATCGGGTGCGCGAGCCGCGAGAATGGGAGATCCCAGCGAGCCGTCCCCACGGGAGCCCGCGCAGAAGGGAGGGGGCGCGACAGAGGCAGGGGGGATATACAGCCACCCCGGGACTCTGGGCGCGCGGGCGCACACACACGGACACACGGACACACGGACACACGGACACACGGACACACGGACACACGGACACATACACCAGCACCCACACGGCCAGGTGACGGCTGACTCGGAGGAAGACCAACTGATGACCGGCCCCCGGGCAGGGAGCCGCACAGCGGGCGAGGGGGAGCCCTCATCTGAATGGGGAGACACAGATCGGATGGCAGGCAGATCTTCAGAATGGAGTGGGCGCGGCCGGGGCGGGGGGGACCAGCCTGGCCACAAACACTCACACGCACTCCCGACACTGGGGGGGGGGGGAAGAAAGCCATAAAAACGCGTCGCGAGCGGGGGAAAAAAAGAGAAGAGAGGAACACGGAAACACTGTCACACAGGTCCGCACCCACGCGCGCATATGCCCCCGGCAGGGGGCCTGCGGAGCGCATCGCCGAGCGAGAACAAGGGAGAGAGAGAGAGAGAGAGAGAAACTCCAAGAAGGAGAAGAAGGGGAAGAAGAAGGAGGACGCGCGCAAGCCAGACGGCCCGGGCATACACGCCCGGGAGGAAATAAAAAAGAGCGCCGCACACAGGGGGGCCCTCCCCGGTGTAGGAAAATAAATGAAAGCAAAGGACAATGCGGAGGCCGGCCAGCTAGACACATTTCAGAACAGAGGAATGTTGTCTAGAACCCCAGGCAAAAGGCATTCACTGATTGTGGAATGAACAGAGGAAATATCGGTTGGCGCGCTGGTCGGCATGTCCC